GGGAAAGATTGTACAATGAACCTGTACTGGGGGCAATTTTCTTGCAACCTATATTTCCCTTCCCCCAGGCTCCTTCTCCCTTGAAATTATTTTTCACACAAGACAAAGATTCCACTGTCCTCATCATTGTGCACTAAAGACACCAGTTTATTTACTGGGGAGAAACTGGTAAGAGTATCTTGGAGCCTTCTTCTCTCATTTACAGTCACACAAGTACAAGCTATAGCAACTGCTTACAAAAACTATTAGTTAAAAAAAATAAGTTATTTTCATTTCTTCAATTGCTAACTTCTGTCTCCTGTGGAGATTTCTGCTTCTTTCCCAACACTTCTGTTGTAATGAATGATGCCTCATTGTCTCTTTTAACATACCTACCTACCTACCATCTTTCTGCTGCCTACAAGCAGCCATTAAGCATGTCAAAAACCTTAACTAGCCCACAGACTCATTTGTGAATCAGAAGTGAAAGGAAATACTAAGATTAACTGTCCACTTTAAGTTTTAAACAGAATAAAGATGTCAGGAAAGCTTGTAGGCTGTAAACTGGTAAAGAGATGCAAACAGTCAGTATCATGCAGTTTGAATGGTAATACATAGCATGTACAGCCATGTAGTTATGTTGACCTCAGAATGTCTAGTGGTTTCCTCACTGCCTCTGGCAAGTTCATAGTTTTGTGCTTAAGACTTACATAACAATGGAGAAAACCTACAACAGGAGATTTGAAGTCTTGGTTATGCACAGAGTATTTTACCTTGTACAGTTCCTTTAAGGACTACATTTGCTTCATAAAGATAACAGCTCAGACTAAGTCAGACATATCTATGCATAAAAAATAAAAAAGATTTAAAAGAAATTAACATATTGAATTAAGAGTAAGTATATTAAATGCAGTTCTAGAACAAGCAGCAATCCTAGCTTATACATATTTCATGCCAGAATTGAGACTGTAGTACAAGATTTAAATAAGTTACATTTACCATAATCAGAACACTTAAATTCTCACAACAGTAAGGCTTGATATTACAGTACGTATTTGATGCAGAATTCTTTAGAAATAGGATTTTTTTTAGTCCAGTTTTGCAGCAACATGCTGCCCCCTGCTGCTATGAGTCTGAAACAGGTTGGCTAGGAGTACCACTTCTTGTCTTCAACTGTGATTGAGCAATATCGGCTAGCGCACTCTGGATTTTTTCCAATAGCATATCCCCACGATAGACAACCTCCTCCAGGCGGGCAGCTGCTTCATGGTTCTCCTCCTCTAATCGATACAGACTAGCAGCCTTTAAATAAGAGAAACAAAGTTAGGGAGTGACCTTGAACTTCACACAAGACAGATTTTGCTTCAAGAGGCAAGATGTTCTCACTTTTTAGTGTTAAGAGAGAGAAAGATCCTAATTTTTAGCCTCTGCATCAGTCACTGTCTAAAGGCCAGCTGCATCTTCCATTATTAGGTCTTCCACCTAACAAACAAATGCTCCCACTTCAAGGAGTTACATCATCAAAAAAACCCAAACATGCTTGCTTGTCTCAGATAATCATTCTTAGGTACTCAAAGTAGTTGCTCAATTACAGTTTAAATCAAAAGAAACTGAAAAGAAATAAACTAACTGTCATATTGAATGAAATAGTTTGAATGTTTGTAAAGATTGCCCATTAGCCAGTTTCAGGAAGAAGATAGGATCTATCTCCTTATCTAGCTCATTGTTTTGGAGCTACGTGCGAAATGTCCTGACTTCGCCTAAAACCTTAATCTAAATTGTACCTTTAGAAGTTTTTTACAAAGAAAGTAAATGTCCTAAATTCCGAGAAATCAAAGCCTGGGGCCTTTTAACCAGACTGGTAAAAAGAAAAGAGTATTTACAGTGATATGGAAGTCTCCCCAAGAATAATTTAAAAATGCTCAACAAAGGTAATTTCTGTTGAGTAAGATCCGAGCCCAAATTTGGGAGTTATAATGAATTGAGTAGGAGGAGCCCGATGACGGCAGCTCACTCAATAAAAACCTGTAACTTACTGTCCCAATTTGGAGGTGACTTCACTTGCAGAACAACGAAGGAAGAATCGCAAGTATAAGTTCAGATTAGATTGATCGCCTAATCAAGCCTCTCCGTGAACACGAATCTCTTAGTTCACGCTGAAGCCGCGGAGCGCCCGAAAGGGACTGAAGGAAGGGGACGTAGTCCTATCACTGGTGAGCCCAGCTCATTGAATCGTATTGCTGAGGCCAGCCTATTGAACCGTACTACTGAGGCCAACCCATTGAATCGTACTACTGAGGAATGAAACCATATTTGGGTATTTGGCTTCTCGGAATTCTAGGATTGTAAGTATATTATGAAAAATAACAGTATTGATTCAAATTTAACTTTTAGTTGTAATTGTAGTTGTTTTTGTAACACTAATTCTTATAGCATTGTTTGGGAAGGAAGTGCATTCGGAGCATTGTTTCTGATATATGTAATTATTGTGTTCTTAATGTTTGTGGTGTTTCTTAAAGCTAAGCAGTGTTATATACGTAGCAAAGAGTTTTAAAATAAAATTGTGTTGTATAAATTAAGTGTGTAATCATTGTGAAATCGTGCAATCAGCTAACTACTCCCCCAGCCAGCGCATCAAAACGAATCAGTAAATTGTGTGGGATTTTCTCTATTCCATAACCCACTAGAGACACTAACAAACCCCACAGACTTGGAACCCTGCTCCATAATAAGAGAAGATGAATAAAGTCTAAGCAGAGCAAACCTCTTAAGATAGAAAAAAAGAACAGCATATAATCAGCAAAAATGTCTCATTCAAACCAAAACTATTTGAATTTTTATGTTATCCTGAATTTGATGAAGTTCCAGATGATTTTGAAACAAAATATTTTAATATTTTCAAAAGCTAAAGGCCAATGTTTTGCCGGGGAAAGGACATTTTGGGCCAAAAATGCTCAAATTTATGCCACATCTACTGAGTAAATGGAACGGATCAAAACTGAGTTTTTGGTGAGTAAGGTATTCAGGCCAAAGTTTTTGCCCAGCTCTAGGTAAAAACAATTCAGATTCTTGTGGCAGATGCCCATTTGTACAACTTTCTCTTTTAGAATTGCACTACCAATGACTCTAGCCAGGTGCATTAGATAGATGCATGTAAGGCCAATGAATGAAGACTACTACAGATGCACCAGGGATTAGAATCCAGATTTTTGCTCAATTAACTGACATATACAGAAGTAAAAGGTGGACATGTGTATTAAAACACATAGCAATGGGCTAGATATCTGAGGAGAAAAAAGTTAGAAGAGTCAGTAATCAGGGAGAGGGTGGCAGCTCCTTCTACACAAAATAAATCTAAATTTATCCTTAAAGGAAGAGTCTATGCAAACAGAGACAGTATTAAAAGCCAGCTACTTCAAGCACTTTGACATGAAAATGGATTAAATTAGCACCTTTTCAACATGAATAACCAGATTCTATACTGTTCTAGTGTGGCCAACTTCATCCTCCCCTAACACATAATCCATTAAAGGTAGAAAGGGACACAATGCATAAGCAACGGTTTAATCAGTTTAAAAGGCTGAAAGTGAAGAATAAAAAAAGTACGGCCATTTATGTTACACAAACTGTCCAGGAACCCAATGACCACAGCACTGTCTTTCTTAGCAAATGTAGTTATCCCTAAAAATGAGGCCCAGACACTGGTCCAATGCCAGCTGAGGTAAGTCTGTTTACCGACTGGATCACACCCCCCACCTACCCCCGCAGTCTCTGCAACACCTTGGCTTTCTAATGCAAGCTGTCACTACAACCAGGTGTGGTTTAACTGTAGAACAGGGAAAGATCTTTAGTACCCTTGCCCTGCTGATTGAAACTATACTACTGCATTAAAGACAGCAAAAGATATGTGGCAATTACTATCTCTAGACTGCTAGCCAAGTAACACTTCACAATACTCATGACAGTTTCTGTTCAACTCTGCATACACTGCCAGGTTTAGACGCCTTTTGTAATTCACAAATATTTACTGCATTTTGCAGAAAAGCAGCCTGCTTAAAAATTTCCAGTTTCAGTTCTTGTATTTACCTCATCTTAGAATGAAGTTTTAGAAAGTAGCATGTAAAGCTAATGCCCATTTTTTTTTTTTTTTTTAATACAAAAAGGCATATAAAAAGGGACGCAAGAAGAAGGCACACGAGTCTATCTACAGCACTTCTGTCCTAAAGAAAAGGACCAGCAGGACAAGTTTGTTCTGAACCTAAGGAAAGTTTGCTGATGCAGCAAGAAAGCAGAAAACTGCTTTGTGACACAGCTGGAACAGACATGCCAACCCTTTAGAAAGCAGGGGTCTAGATACACAAAAGGGGCCATGTAAAAAACAAAGGCTTAAACAGAACAATACTGTAGTGCTTTGCTCTTGCTGGGATTAAGTACAACCTGCTCCAAGAGAGCAAGTTGATACACAATTTTTTAGAATATTTAAAAGATACAAATAGACAAACTATCAACAATTGAAGATGCCAGGTAACTTCCTAAAGTAACATTAGGTGGTGGTAAGAACAGTTTCTTTGGCATTGTAAGAAAGTCAAAGCAAGTTCTACATATCTTAGTGGTCTTGGATGCAAGTCTGCCCACCCTGTTCCAAGTTCACCTACACAACGTCATCTTTTCAGTATATTGCCGGAGATTTACAGGTTCTCTTTTGAAGAGCTCAAGTTCATTTTAAACAATATGCAAGACCACATCTTTTACATTAGTTACTCTTTTGAGATGTGATTTAATGCGATTAAGAAGCATTTTTGCAGTGTTTCAGTATTTTGGCTTTCAACTTTCTTACCTGCAAAGCTGCTGTTGATTCTTCACTAGGTAACGAATCTATCAAAACATCTATATCCTTAGCAGTACGAGCAATCAATGCTGCAAAGAGCTGGGCATATTCTATTAAAAATAAATAAGAATTACTCTAATATACTACTTTTAGCTCTTTTTTTCAGGGGAACTGTAATAAGCTGGGGGCACATTTAAAGAACTTGAATCCATTTCAGACAAGCTGTATTTACTTCTAAAAAAAAAAAAAAAAAAAAAAAAATCAAGGAAATGTCAAGCCTTAAGAACTTCCCCATACAAGGCAGCAATAGCATGGTACATTAGGACAATTGAATCAGATTGAGCACAGATAAAAGGCTAAAAATTCAGAGTATTCACAAATAAAGGGCTAAAACATCAGATTAAATATAGTTGTATACAAATAGTGCTCCCATAACTATATGAAGTTGCAGCAAGAACACAAGTAGGGTTTGCCATTTCATTAACTGTTAGTTAACAAATGTTGAGGTATGCAACAACCTCTGTGCAGTATAAATGCTGCATAAATATGGTGAAAAATTTAAAGAAACAACTAGATTAAAAGGTTTACTGCTACTGTGTTAGAATTTTAGCACGCTGAACTTAAATGCCTTTAAAAACTTTGCTATCCATACGTTTAAAAGAATTTGCAGCTTAGAACCCAGATACCTTTGCTAGTGATAAGACTTTTAAATTTTGGTAAAGTATACAACTCCTCTATTAGTTTTAAAAATTGACTTTTATAATATTATAAATCCAGTTAACAAGTAAAACAAGACTACAGTTAAAAGGTTGTTAAGGAGATCTGTAGGTTTTTCCTGTTTACTTTGTGCATCTGACATATTTTAAGTCACAACCACTGTTTCCAAAAAACAAACAAACAAACAAACAAACCAATCACCAAACAATATGGAAGAGAATAAAAACAAGCCCCACACAAGAAAAAAAAATGGTGACTAAGAACATACAACTAATACTCTGGTTAAAGATTTAATACACTTTAAAAACTAATATATTAACACACATTTTCCATGTCTAATCAAGTGTCATTTTGACAATGTTTGTTTCAATAGCCCTGTTCACATGCTTTTGTCTCTTAAATACAAAAATGAGTACTCTGCAAACAGTACTTAAAAACCTTCTTGCTTTCAAGGACATTAATATTAAGAAGAGGCTAGTCTGGCATCTTCTAGTGTGTTTTGCACAACCTTTTCTAGCTAGTGGCCAGATTAGTACATGCTATAGTAGAATGTGCTTTGGCCAGAGTTTAAGGCAGAGGTGTCAAATGCATCCACCCCTGCAGCCAGGTGAGTGTCTATGAGTTAGTCTGTGGACTGGACTGAACTGGGACCAACCCCCTCCCCCTGCCCACCCTTCCCATGGAGTAGCAGCAGTGCTGGGTCCAGCTCATGCACCACATGCAGCATATGGTAGCCCCTGGAACTGGCATGGGGTGGCCCCAGCACTGCAAGCAGGACAGGAAGTCAGTCCAGGGTGCCGCCTGCAGCCCATGCCCCAGATTCCTTGTGCTGCCAGCAGCTCTGGGTCCAACCCACGCACTGTAAGATCCAAGGGGCCATTTGCACATGAGCATAGGGACCAGCATATGCTGCATGCAGGGCTGTGCATGGTTCAGTTGCCCTGAACTGCAGCACAGCACCATTGTGCACTGTGCTAGCCCCACTTAGGATCCCCAAGGTCAAGCCTAACCCGATTTCAAACATAAAGCAAAAGGAGATTAATTTGAGAAGCATTTTTGGTTGTGCACCTAGATCAGAAGAGTTCCCACTTAAGAAACACATGGAACAAAATTAGGGCTGACCTGATCATTTAAACACTAAATATTTTAAATTGCCTCTTCCCTGAAAGATAACTCTTGCTTTGTCCTGCCATTACATATTTTAGAGCAGAGAACAGGATGGTTCCCAGATACCATCACACTGGTATTCCAGATAGTATGACCATCAGGATGGTAATTCTGCAATGGCTTAGTGAGGAATAACCCTACCGAGGCTAGGGGCTGGACATGACAACCTCAGGGTCCCTTCCAGCTGCCTTTCCTACAATTCTACCAACTCCAGACAATGTTACTTACATTTGCGCTCTTGCAGAGACCTAGAACAGATCTCATCCGGCCCCTACCTTCACTGACCCCTGTGTGTACCAGCGAGCTGCCCTGCCAGTCAGAAAAGCTGCACAAGATGCTTTTTACCTTCCGTAGGATTGGCTGGCTGGTCCTTGTTGAGGGTGGTCTGGATGTTGCTGAACGAGGCAGGTGGGCCGCATTGCTGCAGCACCCCAATAGCATTGCAGAACTGGTCAGCAAGCTGCAAGGCGCACAGCATGCGAGGCTTAGCCACGGGGCCCAGTGGGCAAAGTCAAAGCCCCTACCCTCCTCACAACCCCAACCTCTTCCCAGCCCCCACCCGGACCTCCCCTCCACCAGACTCTCACCCCGGGACCCCCTCTCGTCTCCCTAAAAGAGAACTCCCCCGCGATCCACGCCCACTGGTGGGGGAGCGGGACCAGGAGCCACCCGGGCTTCGGCCGCCCCGACGCGGCGCGACACCTCACCGAATTCACCGCGTCTTGCAACTGCGTGAGCCGGTCCGCCATACTCGCACCCTAGAATCCTGCCCACCCATTGGTCAGCGCCTAAACGCGACGGCGCAGCCAATCGCAGCTCCCAATCTTAGGTGGTCAGGGAGGGAATGGGAGGGGGCGGGGAGTAGAAGTGGGGGTGGAGCTGTACATACTTCCTTTTCGGGTCTGTGGTTCGGGTTCCGCTAGGAGGGTGTCCTGGCTGCTGGGGCCGGTTGCTCCCTGACGGCGGGAGGGTACTTGCGAGGTCTCTTAGCCACCGAGGGGCTCGGGCGCTGCAGGGCCTGTGCCTGGGCCGGCTCCCATTGAACTCGAGAGGAAAACATCTCGGAGGAGCGGGATCCTTTGGGGCTGGATGGACGGGCCTGAGTTCCCTACCTAGTAACCATAAGGAGCCCTCTGCTATGCAAATAAGTAAACAAGCGGGGCTGAGAGACGTACTCTCCCCGGGGCTTGCGTTGCTTCCAAAACCCGCCCCAAATCATGAGGCTGAAGTTGTTTGCTTATTCCAAATTCCTTATTCCCGTTGTGAGGTTCCTTTTTCAAAGCTAATCTAGACCCAATAAAAGCTTGTTATTAATGAATTGTACATCCCAAAGAGAGATAATTTCATTAGCTATGCACATGTACTATTTCATATGTAAAATAATATCGCACCTCAAGTACAGAGCCCTAAATGAAGGTCAGATTAGGATAGGATCATGGGGCAAAATACTTCTTGGGCCACCACAAACTTCCTGTTGATGCCATTGGGGGACTGTCCCAAGAACCCTGACCACAGCACGGTTTGGCCGTGCCAGGCTGCCAACTGACAGCCCCCATGCCCACTATACTAAGTATAATATCTTGAATAAGGAACTGGTTTTTGGGCTGGGATTATAGCTAGAAAATCTGCTTGGGCCACCCATCAGAATACCTCTGCACGACTGGGGGACTCTATCGGACAGGTAAAATATGTGGTCAGGGTTCTTTAGGACAGTCCCCCAGTGGCATCAACAGGGAGTTTGTGGTGGCCCAAGAAGTATTTTGCCCCATAATCCCATCCTAATCTGACCTTCATTTAGGGCTATGTACTTGATGTGAGATATTATTGTACATATGAATTAGTACATACAGCTAATGAAATTCTCTCTCTTCAGGATGTGTAATTAATTTATAACAAGCTTTTATTGGGTCTAGATTAGCTTTGAAAAAGGAACTAGGAATAAGGAATAGGGACCTGGGAATAAAGAATAGGGAACTGGAAACAAGCAGCCAACCGCAGCTTCATCCCCAAATCACTGTTTCTTACAGCAATATTTGCCTGACATCACTATTTCTTACACCATTTTCCACATTTTGTTTTTTAATGCCTTGCGCCACACACACTTGAGTCTGCCAACACGCCTGGGTGTGGGCATCTCTAGGAGTTTGAAAAAGAGGGTGCAGTGCATCATCACATACAACACAACATGCATTTCTCTCCAGGTAATAAACTAGGAGCTTTAGCAACAGCCAGCGGCCCAGGGCTGTATTATGCCATTTAAAATTGAAGCAAAAACAAACAGAACTTCACTGCAATGAGTTAAAAACAAACATGCAGGGCTGTGAAACAGGAGCTTCATGACCAGAAGCAGCTACCAGGTCATAGCTGGATGGACTGGCAGAACATCAAGGCCATTCAAAAGGAGAGGGCCATTAACACCTGTGGGATGAAGAGTTTAGCAGCGATCAGTAGGTTACAATGAGCCATGAAATCAATGGACTCTTTCAGCACTGCCTGACTAGCGACCCAGATCAAGGACAACAAAAGTCCTTTTTCAAATACATAGGGGGCAAAAGAAGGTGTCAGGTAACGTGGAGCCTCTGCAGGACACGCTAGGAAATCTCATCATCTCACCTGATGGTAAAGCTGACATATTCAACAATTTCTTTGCCTCCGTATTTCTGAGGAGGGACCCGGATATCTCCCCCACTGGCCCCCCTGAGGGCCCTGTGGGTGGCATACCCAGGCCTAGGGTTCATGAGGACCTTGTCAGGGAACTTTTGGAGGGACTAAATGTATTTAAATCCACAGGTCCTGATGATCTCCACCCTAGAGTGCTGAAGGAACTAGCAGGGGTCATTGCGGGACCTCTGGCACAGCTCTCCGAGCACTCATGGCACTCAGGCGTTGTACCGGAGGACTGGAAAAGGGCCAACGTGGTCCCCATCTTCAAAAAAGGGAGGAAGGAGAACCCAGGAAACTATAGGCCTGTGAGTCTTATTTTGGTCCTGGGGAAGCTTTTCAAAAGAATTATCCTGGCACATATCCAGGAAGGGCCAGCAGGGGAGGTTATGCTCAGGGGCAACCAGCATGGGTTCATTAGGGGCAGGTCTTGTCAAACCAACCTGGTGGCCTTCTACGACCAGGTCACCAAGTCCTTGGATGCAGGTGTTGCAGTGGATATAGTCTTTCTGGACTTCAGCAAGGCCTTTGACACGGTCTCTCACCCCATTCTCAGTAAGAAACTAGGAGACAATGGTGTTGATGCCTACACAGTCAGATGGGTCACTAACTGGCTGGTGGGCCGCACCCAGAGGGTGGTGGTGGACGGGTCTTGTTCGACCTGGAGGGATGTGGGCAGCGGAGTTCCCCAGGGCTCGGTCCTTGGGCCCGCAATATTCAACATCTTCATCAGTGACTTGGGCAAGGGGGTAGAAAGCACCCTGTTCAA